GAGCAACCCAACGTTCCTACCAGCTCCCTCCGCAGGAATGTGTTGTGTGTCTTTGCATGTGTGCAGTTGGGGGAGCGGTGGTGTAGCGGTTAGCGCGCGGCACTACGAACCCAGCCACCCGAGTTCGATTCCCGCTCATGGCCATAAACACCAGTGACGAATACTTATCTGAACCGGTACTGAGACTCCCCTAGGTCGACTCAGCCACAAATGAGTACCTGGGTGCGGTGTGTAAAACATCGCCACTGGGGGAGACAAAGGCGGCCGGGCGTGGTGCTGGCCCACCCACCCCCTCGTGTGCCGTGCCGGCCTTCAAAGGTGATCGCTAACAGCACTTGCCCCAAGAGTCTGTTAAGGCTATACGGGGGATCTGTTGTTTACATATACAGGTTACGCACTTTGTTTCTACTTTGCATCTGTAAAACACATTCCTGCGGAGGGAGCTGGTAGGAACGTCGGGTTGCTCGGTCAATGGTTGCAGGGTCAACGGCGGCGTGGTGTATTCCGCAAATATGCCCGACTGTGAGGGCGGGCACAAGCCGGCGTGAGTAGGTTAAACGTTGAGTTTTATAAGGGCACCACGTGGTGACCAGCCCCTCCGCACCCTCCCCACCCTCCCCACCCAGCCCCACCCTCCCCACCCAGCCCCACCCTCCCCACCCAGCCCCTCCCTGCACGACGGACGGACACAATAATCCCCTGTGGGCTGTTGTAACCAGGAGGTTCCTACCAGAATCACATCTTCAAGTAATACGCATATTAATCGCATGTTTGTGTTTCACAAAGTCATGTATTTAAAGTACTGTACCGCCAAAGGAAATTAATATGTAGAATGATGACCGTTGGTGAATAATTAAAGTTAATATTTACTCCGAATTCATTCGTCTTAAAGATTTAACATTGCTTTTGAAAATTATTGCTCTATCAAAAGCAATTATTTAAACAGCACTTGCCCCACCAGTCTCTTGAAGGCTACTCTAACAGACTGTTGGGGCAAAGACAAAGATCCCCCGTATCGCCTTCAGAATCAGAATATGTCTGCAAACTGGAGCCTTTAACAGACTGTAGGGGCAAGTGCAAAGAGCTTTAGAGCTAATCGGATTCCTTCATTATAAATAAAAATTCTCATTCTGAAGGCTATACGGGGAATCGCTGTCTTTTTATTGCTCTATCAAAAGCAATTATATACAACAAGTATAACCCGTAAAAACAAAGTTTTTCATTATAAATCCTTTATATGCGTGGCGGCTAGAGTCCTCTCGTCCTCTGGCTTGAGATGGCTGCCACCTATGGGTTAGATGATTGTCTGCCAGTATTAAGCAATTGGTAATTAAATATTTAATTTGTTTTCCCTAAACAGTGTAAAAAAATTTAAAAAAAATTTCACGAACATTAATTGTCTCGCACAACGAGTCTGTGTGCAAAATGTCAGCTCGATTGGATCACGGGAAGTGGGTTAAAAAACGACCGAAAGATTTGCACGGTCGTAAGCAAGCAAGCAAGCACGCAAGCAAGCAAGCAAGCGAACTTAATATTAAGGATTTAAAAAACACTTTGCCCCAACACCCTGTTAAAGGCTACTTTATACAGACGGGCTACTTTAACACACCTTTGGGGGCAAGTGCTGGACATCTGTGCAAAAAGAGCGTTATGGCTCATCAGATTCCTCCAGTAAAAAAGTTTTATTTTCATTCTGACGGCTATACGAGGGATGGTTGTCTTTTTATTGCTCTATCAAAAGCAATAAAAATAACACTTGCCCCAACATTCAGTTAAAGGCTGATTTAATAGAATGTTGGGCTACTTTTTAAAGGCTACTTTAACGGACAGTTGGGGGGGGAGGGCAAGTGCTAAACATCTGTGCAACGATAAGAAGAAAAAAATGAGGGTCACTTGATAGATCATCGGATTCCTACAAATAAAACATCCCGCCGTGTCTTTTTCACGTGCGTCAGTTTGAAGCGAGAGACACACACACAGATACACACACAGTGAGAGAGAGACAGAGTGAGAGACACACACACAGAGAGACAGAGTGAGAGACAGAGATAGACACACAGTGAGATAGACAGTGAGAGACAGAGGACACACACACACAGAGACAGAGTGTGAAGGACAGAGTGTGAGAGACACACAGAGAGACAGTGAGAGGGACAGAGTGTGAGAGACACACACACAGAGACAGAATGAGAGACAGAGACACACACACAGAGAGACAGTGAGAGACAGAGAAGACACACACACAGAGACAGAGAAGACACACACAGAGACAGAGAGAGAGACACACACAGAGACAGAGAGACATACACACACAGAGACAGAGTGAGAGAGAGAGACACACACAAAGACAGAGAGAGACACACACAAAGACAGAGACACACACACAAAGACAGAGGAGACACACACAAAGACAGAGTGTGAGAGACAGAGAGACACACACAGAGAGACAGAATGAGAGACAGAGAGACACACACAGAGACAGAGTGTGATAGAGAGGAGACACACACACAGAGACAGAGTGTGAGACACACACACAGAGACAGAGAGTGACACAACACACACAGAGACACACACACACAGAGACACACACACACAGAGACAGAGTGTGAGACACACACACAGAGACAGAGAGTGACACACAGACAGAGACACACACACACAGAGACACAAAGTGAGACACACACAGAGACAGAGTGTGAGAGACACACACAGAAAGACAGAATGAGAGACACACACACAGAGACACAAAGTGAAAGACAGGAGAGACACATACACAGAGACAGAGAGACACACACACAGACAGAGTGAGACACACACAGAGACAAAGTGAGACACACACACAGAGACAGAGTGAGTGAGACAGAGTGACACACACACAGAGAGACAGAGGAGACACACAGAGACAGAGTGACACACACACGGAGACAGAGTGAGAGACAGAGAGACACACACAGAGACATAGTGTGATAGACACACACACAGAGAGACAGAATGAGAGACACACACACAGAGACACAAAGTGAGAGACAGGAGACACACACACAGAGACAGAGAGACACACATACCGACAGAGTGAGACACACACAGAGACAAAGTGAGACACACACACACAAACACACACACAGAGAGACAGAGTGCGAGACACACACAGAGACAGAGAGATACACACACAGAGACAGAGTGAGTGAGACAGAGTGAGACACACACAGAGACAGAGTGAGAGACAGAGAGACACACACAGAGACAGAGTGTGACAGACAGTGACACAAACACACAGAGACACACACACACAGAGACAGAGTGTGACACACACACACAGAGACACACACAGAGACAGAGGGGACACACACACAGAGACAGAGAGTGACACACACAGACACACACACACAGAGACAAATTGAGAGACAGGAGACACACACACAGAGACAGAGAGACACACATACCGACAGAGTGAGACACACACAGAGACAAAGTGAGACACACACAGACACACACACAGAGACAGAGTGCGAGACACACACAGAGACAGAGAGACACACACACAGAGACAGAGAGACACACACACAGACAGAGTGAGACACACACAGAGACAAAGTGAGACACACACACAGAGACAGAGTGAGTGAGACAGAGTGACACACACACAGAGAGACAGAGGAGACACACAGAGACAGAGTGACACACACACAGAGACAGAGTGAGAGACAGAGAGACACACACAGAGACATAGTGTGAGAGACACACACACAGAGAGACAGAATGAGAGACACACACACAGAGACACAAAGTAAGAGACAGGAGACACACACACAGAGACAGAGAGACACACACACAGACACACACACACACAGACAGAGTGCGAGACACACACAGAGACAGAGAGACACACACACAGAGACAGAGTGAGTGAGACAGAGTGAGACACACACAGAGACAGAGTGAGAGACAGAGAGACACACACAGAGACAGAGTGTGACAGACAGAGTGACACACACACAGACACACACACACACAGAGACAGAGTGTGACACACACACACAGAGACACACACAGAGACAAAGGGGACACACACACAGAGACAGAGAGTGACACACACACACACACAGATCCAAATTGAGAAACAGGAGACACACACACAGAGAGAGTGACACACACACACAGAGTTAGACAGTGACACACACACACAGAGGGTGACACACACACACACACAGACAGAGAGAGTGAGACACACACACAGAGACAGAGAGTGAGACACACACAGACACACACACACAGAGACACACACACACAGACACACACACAGAGACAAAGTGAGAGACAGGAGACACACACACAGAGAGAGTGACACGCACAGACACACACACAGAGAGTGACACACACAGAGACACACACACACAGACAGAGAGAGTGAGACACACACACATACACAGAGAGTGACACACACACAGACACACACACAGAGACACACACACAGACACACACAGAGAGAGAGAGAGAGTGACACACACACAGACACACACACAGAGACACACACACACAGAGTGACACACACACACACAGACACACACACAGACAGAGAGAGTGAGACACACACACAGAGACAGAGAGTGAGACACACACACAGACACACACACAGAGAGACACACACACACAGACACACACACAGAGAGAGAGTGACACACACACACAGACACACACACAGAGACACACACAGAGTGACACACACAGAGAGACACACACACAGAGAGAGTGAGACACACACACACACACACAGAGACACACACACAGACACACACACAGACACACACACACACACAGACACACACACACACAGACACACACACACACAGAGACACACACACACAGACACACACACACAGAGACACACAAAGTGAACGCCGTCCCTTTAACCGCGTGGCCCACGAGAGTAGCAGTAGGAGCAGTAGGAGGAGCAGGAGGAGCAGGAGGGTGGAGGGGGCTGGGCGAGCCGGTGACGTGAAAATTCTGCGTCCGTGAGGCCGCGGCCACTGGAGCAGCAGCAGCAGCAGCCACTACCGGCCAGGCAGACACACAGACAAGGCAGGTAGACAAGACAGGCAGACACACAAAGCAGACAAGACAGGCAGACAGACAAGGCAGACAAGGCAGGCAGGCAGACAGACAAGGCAGACAGACAGACAAGGCAGACAGACAAGGCAGACAGACAGACAGGCAGACAAGGCAGGCATGGGTGGTGATGCCACATGACAGAGCTGCAGACATGTCGAGGTGGACTCATAGGGTCCCTCGGTAAAGATTGGCGTGAATCTACTTAGGTGACGAACTCTACCACCCACCCATCATCATCATCATCTCCTCCACCACCACGGCTGATGAAACGAAAGCAAACGACACTTCGGTAAGCAAGCAGCAGCATCAGCAGCAGCAACATCATCATCAGCAGCAGCATCAGCAACATCATCATCAGCAGCAGCAACATCATCATCAGCAGCAGCATCATCATCAGCAGCAGCAACATCATCATCAGCAGCAGCAACATCATCAGCAGCAGCAGCAACATCATCATCAGCAGCAGCAACATCAACATCAGCAGCAACATCATCATCAGCAGCAGCAACATCATCATCATCAGCAGCAGCAGCAACATCATCAGCAGCAGCAGCAACATCATCAGCAGCAACATCATCAGCAGCAGCAACATCATCAGCAGCAACATCAGCAACATCAGCAGCAACATCATCAGCAGCAACATCATCAGCAGCAGCAACATCATCAGCAGCAACATCATCATCATCACCAGCAGCAGCAACAACAGCAGCAGCAACATCATCAGCAGCAGCAGCAACATCATCATCATCAGCAGCAGCAACATCAGCAGCAAGCAGCAGCATCATCAGCAGCAGCATCATCATCAGCAGCAGCAACATCAGCAGCAGCAGCAACATCATCATCAGCAGCAGCAACATCATCATCAGCAGCAACATCATCATCAGCAGCAGCAACATCAACATCATCATCAGCAGCAACATCATCAGCAGCAGCAGCAACATCATCATCATCAGCAGCAGCAACATCAGCAGCAAGCAGCAGCAACATCATCAGCAGCAGCAACATCATCAGCAGCAGCAGCAACATCATCATCATCAGCAGCAGCAACATCAGCAGCAAGCAGCAGCATCATCAGCAGCAGCATCATCATCAGCAGCAGCAACATCATCAGCAGCAGCAGCAACATCATCATCAGCAGCAGCAACATCATCATCAGCAGCAACATCATCAGCAGCAGCAACATCAACATCATCATCAGCAGCAACATCATCATCAGCAGCAACATCATCATCATCAGCAGCAGCAACATCATCAGCAGCAACATCAACATCATCAGCAAGCAGCAACATCAACATCATCAGCAGCAGCAACATCATCAGCAGCAGCAACATCATCAGCAGCAACATCAGCAGCAGCAACATCATCATCAGCTGTGCAGGTCAGAGTAAACGGAGAGCATCAACGCAGAGCGGCGGATGAGGTTCAAGGTGTACGCGCGGGTGATTTAAAGCATGGGGCACGGTGTGTTTGTGTTGTTGTTTCGCTCAGGGAGGGATGGTGGCGATGATGATCATTTAAACCGTGAAGAAGATGGTTATTTCAGTGGTACGTGTGTGTGTGTGCCACGGTGTGTTTAATACGTTCGGTACGAGCGAGATGGACCACCACAATTGGTGGTGGTGACTTTCTCATCGTTATCACAATAAATTTTTGTTTTATTTCTCTCCGATTGAAAAGGAACACTTTCCTCCCCCCATCACCACCATCACCACCCTTTCTTCTTCTTCTTCTGGTGGTGGTTATGGGAGTTGAAATGTTCGCGAAAGAATGTGAAGTTGAATTTTGAAAGTCAGGCCCCAGTGGCTTTGCTCAAAACTAATGAGTCGCTTTGGGTATTGGTGGGGACTTGGTCTCGTCATCTGCGATTCCGTGAAACATTTTGATTGCAATTGAAGCAGTCGTTAATATGTGATGGTAAGGGACAATTCACGCAAAAAAATTGTGAAGTTATTATAACAACAACAACAAAATGTCTGCTTCCACGCAGGCTATTTGTACTCTGCGTGTCATGGGATGGTATTTTGTTGTATTGTTAAAGGGTTTGAAAGTGAAATCTCTGAGCAGAGGATATTTGTATATGTTGTCTGTTAGTAATTGTCAGATTTTGGAATGCTCTGCCTGAACACTGAGATTCTCCCAATTAAAAATAAACTAAAAACCTTATTTTCCTATGATGTTAGGTAAAATAAGACGTGATTGTTTTCTATTGTATGGCACTGAAGCCCTGTTGTTGGGTCTGCTGGGCCTCATAAAAAAACGTCAAAATAACTACGATAATTATGCAAAACAAAGTAATTCGTACAGCTGACCAGACATCATCCCGCGACAGTTTGCTGTCAATGCATCGGTGGTCATAAGTGGTCAGATGTTTAAATGCTCTGCGTACATAGTACATACTACAACAACGACTAAATAGAACGTCAATTCAGTAAAGCATTTCGACGGCGCGTGGTGGGAGAAAAATGAATTGTTTTGCTCTCTGTTGGTTTCGTGGAAACCTCTCCTGCACTTTGAGTATATCTCCAAGGTGCTGACACTGCGTGTGTCTCTCTCCCTGTGTGTGTCTCTCTCTTCCTGTGGGTGTCTCTCTCCCCATGTGTGTCTCTCTCTTCATGTGTGTGTCTCTCTCTCCCTGTGTGTCTCTCTCCCCGTGTGTGTCTCTCTCTCCCTGTGTGTGTCTCTCCCTTCCTGTGGGTGTCTCTCTCCCCATGTGTGTCTCTCTCTTCATGTGTGTGTCTCTCTCTCCCTGTGTGTCTCTCTCCCCGTGTGTGTCTCTCTCTCCCTGTGTGTCTCTCTCTTCCTGTGTGTCCCTGTGTGTCTCTCTCCCCGTGTGTGTCTCTCTCCCTGTGTGTCTCTCTCCCCCTGTGTGTCTCTCTCCCTGTGTGTGTCTCTCTCCCTGTGTATGTCTCTCTCCCTGTGTATCTCTCTCCCTGTGTGTCTCTCTCTCCCTGTGTGTGTCTCTCTCCCTGTGTGTCTCTTTCCCTGTGTCTCTCTCCCTGTGTGTCTCTCTCTCTCTCTCTCTGTGTCTCTCTCCCTGTGTGTGTCTCTCTCCCTGTGTGTGTCTCTCTCCCTGTGTGTCTCTCTCTCCCTGTGTGTGTCTCTCTCCCTGTGTGTCTCTTTCCCTGTGTCTCTCTCCCTGTGTGTGTCTCTCTCCCTGTGTGTCTCTCTCTCCCTGTGTGTGTCTCTCTCTCCCTGTGTGTCTCTCTCCCTGTGTGTCTCTCTCCCTGTGTCTCTCTCTCCCTGTGTCTCTCTCTCCCTGTGTGTCTCTCTCCCTGTGTGTCTCTCTCCCTGTGTCTCTCTCTCCCTGTGTCTCTCTCTCCCTGTGTGTGTCTCTCTCTCCCTGTGTGTGTCTCTCTCCCTGTGTGTGTCTCTCTCTCCCTGTGTCTCTCTCTCCCTGTGTCTCTCTCTCCCTGTGTGTGTCTCTCTCTCCCTGTGTGTCTCTCTCCCTGTGTGTGTCTCTCTCTCCCTGTGTGTGTCTCTCTCTCCCTGTGTGTCTCTCTCTCCCTGTGTGTCTCTCTCCCTGTGTCTCTCTCTCCCTGTGTGTCTCTCTCTCCCTGTGTGTCTCTCTCTCCCTGTGTGTCTCTCTCTCCCTGTGTGTTTGTGTGATTGTTGCTCGCCGTAGTGTGAGCGGGACTACGAACCCGACAACCCGAGTTCGATTTCCGCTCAAGGTCGACTTCGGCCTCAAATGAGCACCTGGTGCGGTGTGTAAACATCGCCACTGGGGGGCAGGGAGACAAAGGCGGCCGGGCGTGGTGCTGGCCACCCACCCCGTGGCGTGCCAACACAGTGCCGGCCTTCGTAGGTGCTCGCTAACAGCACTTGTCCCAACATTCTGTTTAAGGCTACACGGTGGTGGTGGTGGGGGGTCTCTGTATTCTTTTTGTGTTTGTTTCTTTGTGTTTGTTGCTCGCAGTGTGGCGATGACAGCGCCACGCGAATGGGAAGACATCCGCGACCGTGGTGGCCGCTGCCGATGAGGGATGTTGAGAATCTTGACAGGCGCAGCAGCATGGCCTTGAGTCGGAAGGCAGGTGAGTGTGACGAGCGGCCACTTGTGTGTCTGTCTGTCTGTCTGTGTGTAGATGAGTACCTGGTGCCGTGTGTAAACATCGCCACTGGGGAGACAAAGACGGTCGGGTGTGGTGCTGGCCACCCACCCCCTCGTGTACCGTTCCGGCCTTCATAGGTGCTCGCTAACAGCACTTGCCCCTACAGTCTGTGAAGGCTATATGGGGGATTTTTGTGTTTGTGTGCTCACAGCAGATGACAATCGGGTGACAAGCACGTGCACGTAGTGATGGGAGTTGGTAGTGATGGAGCGGTGGTGTAGTGGTCAGCGCACTGCGCAGACGAATCCAGTGACCCGAGTTTGATTGTCGCTCACGGCCAACACCGGTGAAGATTATCTGAACCCGTCCTGGGCCTCCCCTAGGTCGACGTAGCCTCAAATGAGTACCTGGTGCGATGCGTGGACATCGCACCAGGTACTGTGCCGGGACTTTAAAGGTGCTCGCTTACAGCACTTGCCTGTCCCCAATAAGTCTGTTGAGGCTATATGGGGGATCTTTGTCTTTTGCCTTTGTGATGGAGTTGTCAAGGTTATTGATTTCAGTGGGTCCTGCTAATGGGTTGGTAGGATTATACTGACTAATGGGGTAGGTATAATCAATCAATTTAGGTATAATCAGTTTAACTACAGGACAACGGACATGTTTAGCTGTTACCCTGGCCACATGTTTGGATATGGTTAACCTGAGATGGCGTCAAAGGGTGATTTAATGCTTTTGTGTGATTGAAAATTAACAAGTTTATCAGGTTAGCAAAGGCGGTATCTAACTGGATGCACATAAAGAATAACTACTAAGCGATACCGCTATATGTGTGCGACATCAGTCAAAATTTCTGTCCCTCATGAGTGCGGAATGGTTGGCAGAGTGCAGTACTCTTGCTTGGCTGTGGTGCATTATAAACAAGATTAAGTGCATTAACTCTTCCTCCCCCATGGCTTTAATAATCGTGGAAAAGGCCAGATCAATAAATACAGAATCACACTGCACTCAAGTGGTAAAAGCATGATAATATTTCAACGCAAATTGGTTGGATGCTTTCGAATTTGACCAAGATAACATTGAGCACACGTTTGTATATTGTTTCGAGGTACACAGTTATTACCCGGTAATAGTGTGTGTGTGTGCATGTGCTGTATGGTGGTTGATGGCACGGTGGTGAGTGCACTGTGCTACAAACCCAGCGACCTAGTTTGATTTCCAGCCACGGCCAATATTAGTGGCGAGCCATATTTTTGACTTGTTCTGGGCCTCCCCTAGATCAACTCGGCCATAAATGACCGCTGAGTGCAGTATGTAAACATCAGCACTGGGGAGACAGGCGGCTGGGCGTGATGCTAGCCACACAACCCTCCTTGAATCACATGCTGGTCCTAATAGGTGTTTGCAAACAGCACTGTAAAATGATATATGGGGGAATAGATCTTTGTATTTGTTTGCAGAAAAAAATTCGATAATAGTAAAGGCAAATGCTTCTATCCCACTCTCGTATTGAACACAGCAGACCAGATCTTAAAAATAAAATCTTGCTCAGCTGCGCACAATCTAAACATTACATTGTGACCCGATTATTATTTTTTCTATCCACTGCTCTTTACACAGTAGTCAAAATATATACTAATCAAGTGTGTTGTACTAGCACATGCGAAGCTCATAAGTATATTTAAATTAACGAAGGTATCTCATGTGTGTATTTGTCCGGGGCGTCAGCGACGGCGTGTCAAGGTGGTCGAGGCTGGGTAGGAGGGCATGTGAAAGGGCGTTGGCTGCGTCACGGTGCACAACACTGCACAGGCAAAGAGGGGGTCTAATGAATACAAATGTTTAAGGGGGAGAAAGTAACAACGCCAACAAAGACAAAAACACTTAGTTTAACAGATGCCTCCTTTCTCTTATAAAGTGACCCCCAGGACGGCCTTTATATTTTATAACTTTCTGCCTCATTAAAACTTTTAAATTGGTTCCGAGTATAACGCCCATAAAATATACTGACGAGTGACCAGCGATGGTTTCTTGGCCACACACAGGATAATATAATATTTTCCTCCCTCATTTTATGCTGTTCCTACGTGGGCATACTATTGGTTTGCTGCATTTTATAAAGCATTTTATCGCTCTAATGTTTTCATACCATGCAGTGTTGGGATTTGCTTTGGCCTTAAAAGGCTTTGCCGGGCATTCGTTATGGTTAGAGTATTTTATTTTTTATTTTGATACATATTATTAAACCAGCCCCCCCCCCCCCCCCCGTGACTGACATAGCATGGGCAGGTGGACCATCATCCAGCATTGGTTTGACAAAGGGTATGTGAATGACTGTATTTAGAAACTATTAATTTATTGATACAGGTGCATTTTATTTTCAGTATTACTGCTTAGATAACTTAATCTGGTCCCATGCCATACACCTCAAATAATAATGCAGCTTAACTGAAATTTTTTTATCAGAAGTGCACCTGAAAAATGCTACTGCTGTACACGTATAATCCCCATGGATGTAAAGTCGTACTCCAATATGCCCAATTACGCATTGCTCCATGTTTATACATGAGCCTCAGCTAGACAGCCCCATGCTTTGCATGCACAATTCTGGGTTTGAAGATAAAAGTGTCCATCACAGCAATTAAACCGACTAGAGACTAGAAGTGTCTTTGATGTTGTGAATGTCTCTTTTTTTTATATTGTGTCTTGTATGGACTCTTATATGCGGCATACCACGTTTAATTAAATGCCGTTTATTTGTCTTACGTTAGGTTTCAGAGAAGCCAATTCCCAGCACAGCACTCTACTGCTGTAGCGTCAAGGCATGGGAAACCCATAAACAATTTGACAAGGGCGAGCTTTTGTCTCATCAGAAGCGCATGTTTCGCAATTGAGTGGAGGCACCTGCTGTAAGGATGAAGAAGGGGCTTGTGTCGCTACGGAAGTCTTTCCACTTGAAGAAATCCAAGGATGAAGCCTCCACCGTGTCTGGCTGTTTGGTAGAGCAAGACACGGAGAACGAAGCCTCCTGGGAGAGCCAGGGTGGGCTGCAGTCAGACAAAAGCAGCATGGATGCAAATCCCTGGGATGCCCTGGAAGGAGAGAGCAAACACAGGTCGCAGAGCGACGGCTTTATGAGCACCCTGAGACGGAAACTCTCCTTCCGGCAGAAGAATGTTGGAAAAAACCTCTTTCTTTCCATCGGCGCGGTGGACGATGACGTGTTTTCGGCAACGTCAGTGTCTTCCACAGGAAGCAAGGGTGCCGATGTCCACGCCAAAAGCTGCAACCATAACCGGTTTGCTCAGGGCAACCAATACGACGTGGTCCCCCTGCCAGCAGGAGGCAACGCTCCCAGAAACAGTAGTTCGACCAAAGCGGATGTTAAAGTGTCAGCTGACTTGGACTTTTTCCCTCTCAAAGCTCTGGCCAACGGATGTCAGTGTCGTGACAGAACCTTTGGCGGCTGCAAGGCAAGCCTGGACCCTCACAGCTGTGCGATGGAGCTGAGTCTTGATGGCAACCACAACCCAGATGTGACAATGATGGAATTTAATCAGTCTGCAGTATGCAACGAGCTGAACTGCAATGCCTATTTCAACTACAACGTGATGGACGGCGTGGACTCGGAACATATTCCAGGGTACTCGGAGGTTGAAGAAAGCAAAGTTGCAGCCGTCTCTTTAGAAGAAAAAGCAACGGTTCTCTCCATGTGCAACGCCATTGTCAGAGAGCCAGAATGCGAAAACAAAGATCAGGTGCTAATCCTCAGCGATGACGTCAACAATTTAAGTGCCTTAAATGGAAACATAGTTGAGCGAGACGCTTTGGAAGCGAACGCCCCTGGCCTGCGAGCATTGTTCATCGCGGCGGATGGGCCGCCCGCATCTCCATTAGTGCCGCCCTCCTCCCGGGTTCAAGTGCACAGCGTGCCCTTTGACCCCACGTCAGCGCCAGGCGTGGGCCGTGTGTACGACTCGGTGCGACGTGACGGGCCCGGCGCCGTGTCCAGCCTCACGGAGGAGCTCAAGAAGCTGGCGCGGCAGGGCTGGTACTGGGGTCCCATCACGCGCTGGGAGGCCGAGGAGAAGCTGCACGGCCTCCAAGACGGCTCCTTCCTCGTGCGGGACAGCTCCGACGAGCGCTACCTGCTCAGCCTCAGCTTCCGCTCGCAGAACCGCACGCTGCACACGCGCATCGAGCACTCCAACGGCCGCTTCAGCTTCTACGAGCAGCTCGAGGCGGAGGGGCAGGCGTCCGTGGTGGAGCTCGTTGAGCGGTCCGTGCGCGACTCGGAGGTGGGCGCCTTCTGCTACTCGCGCTCGCGCCTGCCTGGCTCCGCAACTTACCCGGTGCGGCTCACCGTCCCCGTGTCGCGCTTCATGCAGGTGCGGTCGCTGCAGTACCTGTGCCGTTTCGTCATTCGCCAGAGCACGCGCATCGACCTGATCCGAAAACTGCCGCTGCCCAGCAAGATGAAGGACTACCTGCAGGAGAAGCCCTACTGAGCAGCGTGCCATTTGTAGAGAAAGATCATTTACCAGCAGGTTCTGGCCGGTTTTGCAATCGGTTCCGGTGTTTCTCCTTTAAATTCGATTGTGGTGATTATGTCAGAGGCGGTGATAGGATGCGTCTCGATCATGTGAGTTTGCTCAAAATAATTGCATCGCAGCCAGCTATCCCATCAAGCACCTGCATGGCCCAATATGAGCGGTACAACACTCTAACCTGGTGCATCAGTTGCAAATTATGCACACTAGGTGTGTCCAAGGGTGGTAAATGAACGGTTCATCCATGCTCGCGTAATCGTACTGACAGTCAATCATAACACAGCGTCTCTGCAATTACCCCTAATGGATGCACCTGGCAAAAACGATTTGCTCGTCCTGCAGTAGAACGCAGTGGCACACACGGTCTGCCACACACAGTAGTGATCGCCAGTGCCTGTAGCAGGCACTTTACTCAAGGCGATTTAACATTTTCAAAATTACCAAAAAAAGAACCGGTAATCTCGCAGCAACTCATGCTCGTACGAGTTATTTGTGGACACTAATTCTCAGCTCTATTAAATCAAAGCATTTTTCTGAAGCTTGTTATGTTCCTGTCAAAACACGATGCATTTTACAAATGCGCACTTTTCCCGATGGTACAACTCGTGCCACGTGCACGATACACTTATTTTGGGCGAAACAAATAGGTATATGTGACAATGTGATACCACCTCCGCAATGTGCCTGACAACTTAAAAAAAAATACCCCCACAGATAATTGCTTAAAAGATTACCTGGATGGGTGAGAAATGGGGGAATTGAAAATAGAAATAAGGGAGAGAAGTGCATCATTGTGGTGTTCTTGTTTGTATCCTACCTTCAGAATGCAGACGGATCAAATTCACACGAGAATAGATATTTTAGTGGGGGATTTAAACAAACGTCGGTTGAGAGGGATTTTCCAAGGGAAAATGTATTAGCTTTGAGATATGACATGTGGGGCATTTTTGGATATGTCCCAGAAAAATATTTTGTGATGTTGGCAGGCACAGAATGTCACTACCAGGTCACGTATGTTTGACGTGATGGATTTTAACAGTTTGATGTTAAGTACAAATTTCTTCCGTGACATTCATTGTAAACCACATGTATAACTGTTATTTTTTTTATTCCCTCATTCTTGTGATGAATAGATTTTTTACGGTATTAGGTTGTATACATACATGTTTGCTTATGTCTAAGTACTGTAGTGAAAAGTTTAATTATTTTGTTTCATGATTTGTTACTCCAGAAGAAAAATAACGTTTAAAGCCATCTTAAAATATTTGGCATTGTCAACAACAAATGTTCACTTTTTATACTTTTAAAATTTCAATGTCCCATAGGAAATTATACATACTTCCTCTTAATATATCTCTGCTAACTACACTGGTTACAATTCTTAGCATGCAGTACATAACCGTGTAATGTTTTATGTAACGGTGGGCTTTGATGATAAAAATCCAGGAACTAATGTGTATTCCTGAATTTTATCTTAAAACATATCTGGTATTTTTTCTGCATATAAAAAGGGCAAAATATAATAACGCATGAGAAACTCATGCTTGTAAACTACGCAGCACATACTGAATTTAATCAAATGATAAGTGTTTCAAAGAAGTATGGCTTTCTAATGAGCAAATGTTGCTAAACACACCGCACTAAATTAGCCTTTCATCATTATACTTGGACTATTATACAAAAGTATGTAATGAGGAATACAGACTTTTAACTTTGATCTTTTATTCACTGAAATATAGCTGAGCATTCCGGAGTCATCCAAATTGGGGCTCTCATTGTTAATTTTGCCGTTATTCACATTCGATCACCATGATTGTAAAAAAACATGTTTTTCCAAACCATTTTACAGAAAAGAATGACATTTATCAGCCAACAAATCCCTGCCCAATTCTAGACGAATCTGAACCTCGGTCATAAAAGCTGTACAATTTTTTTCTGCATTCATCTACAAGGCTTAATCGTGTGTTGCAATTGAACATATCCCACTATGTGTGGAAAACCTCTGTGCAAATGGCATGTTAACAGATGACCTACATGAACTTTACTTTTTTTTGTAAATGTTACTCCTGAAACTGTTCCTTTCCTCGGCGAGAGTGTTCTGAATAAAAAAAAACGCAACTTATTTGTAAATCGAGTAAATGTATAGTGAAAAATAAAAGTTTTCGCTTGTCACACGTTTTAATTGTATCTCGCTGCAAAAATGTTTGCTAAGCAGATACCTGAGTACGGTGCCACATTTTATATAAGAAAAAAACGCCTCGCCGCATATACGAGACAAAGCTATCATCGGAAATAATTGCCATGTGAAAATTTTACAGCGCTAAACAAAGTTTCGTATTTCAAGGTTATAACCGGAGCTCAAATGTTTTAGGAGTTTTGTAAGAATTATAGCATGGGCAGGAGGGAGAGAAATGATAGATATATCATTTTCACATTTTCTTCTGTCCTAGATATACTGCCAAACATTTTAACGGGAATTGCACCAGACGCTTGTGTTAGTTAAAATGAGCCTTTTAAAAAACTGCTTTTCATTTGGAATCAATGTGCATGCAGTGTACGGCAGCCTCCCAAGGTCTAAACATTTGGGTCATTACTATGTGCGCAGGTATTGATCTGCTCAATGAAAATACTGATTGTTTTGGCATACTAACGGTAATTTATGTTTCCTGTATGGTATTGAACTCTTCTACAACAATAGTTTGTAGAATATTGACATCAAGAATATATTGAGTGCCACGTTTTATCGAGGCTATACATCAGCCGGGCAATTGCAGCCTTGCCTCTTGATGTACAGAATAAACGGTGCGATTTAACCATTTCTTTTTGCGGTATACTGTTTGTTCAGTGTGTGTTAATTGCTAAAGCATGGCTGTCATCACTGAGCAGACACACCGTTAATGGAATATTAAAGTAGTTTTCCACGGAGGAGATGGATCTATGAAATCAGTTTGTGTGCAGGTGCTTGGATTATTCCTACCGTACTGTATATTGCAGGATCGCCAGAGATTGAGACGGCTTGAGAATGCCTTCATTCAGCAGTGGATTGTTCATGGATGACAATGGCGATGATGATAACATTGACAGTAGTTTCAACACAACGATGCCTTCGCAAATTAATCAACAAAAACAATAAAAATATCAAATATGTTCCATAATATCGTTTTTTGGGTTAGATTGCGTAAATATGTGTCGTTGAACCCACCACTACCTCACATAGCCAATTCGTAAGGTTTGTCCCATAAACAGAACATACCAATTCGTTACTAGTACAGCACACCAGTGTGTTGTAGAGCAAATCCACATTTACAAAAAAAACTATAAAATACTCCCCCTATATTATGGATGATAAATTATGGATTATATTGGTCGCGAAGGCTTACGTGTTAAACTATAGTGTGCTTAAAATAAAAAAAAGTTCAAGTGATTCAGGCATAATAATCTCCAGTTTACAACCCTGAGCCAATGGTGTAAATTCCATATTCCTACGGCAAGGGTAAGTCTCAATGTACTAGTGGCATCAGTAACATATATATACATCATGTATCTGCACACATACAAAGTTTTGGTGAATATGTCAGACCTTGGGAAAGCTGTGTGCAACATGCTGAAACTTTTATGAATTTAACTTGAAGGTTTTAAAAACTAAAATAGGAAAAATCAATTGTTCCTCGTATTTGAAAGCTGAATAGTGCAATCATTTCTCGAGGTAAAGTTTTTCGTTTTCTTCTGTCAACATTTAAAGCAGCAAACATTGCACTGCAAACCAAATGAATAACATTGCAATTATGGGCTTTCATTGTTTACCCAGAAAAAAAATAGTTTTAACTCAATCGCAACTCGCAAGACTTGTTAGGAGGCTCCTGTTTGGGATGTTTGGCCAATGCAACGTTCAGCAGTTTTGCTTGTGGAGAGAAACTCGGTAAGTCACAATTATAATAAAAGCGTGTATACATGATACTGCAATGCTCAGGACAGGAAGTGGCAGCCTACTTGTATTTCCATCTGGAAACTAACTGCTCCTGCAAGTGGGTGCCTCGAGCAGTTAGAATGTCAAATACGTGGACTCCTCAATTTACAAACATTCAAACTCGTTCTTTTATCCAGTTGCCTGTTCGGACCGAGAGTTGTAAGTTCAACCGCCATGCAATGGCGGCGGTGGCATCTACATCTGCAGGAAATGAATAACCGGTGTCATCTTCTATACCTATAAAAGATTATACATATTTTTAAGTTATTTCCCGTGTTTTAGTGTGCATGCAGTTTAACATGTTTGGAATCTACAGGAGTAAAGTTGGACTTACGAACAGACCTCTGGAACCTAACTCGTCCGTAAGTCGACGAGTGCCTGTAGTAAATTATGAGGTATAAGTTTCAGTTTATATTGGCTAACGAGGTAAGAACTCAGAGACGCAGGATGGCCTCATTTGAAAAAGTTACCTGGGGTGCGTGGGGTGATTGCCTCTGTGTGTAATCTCCATTGAGTAATTTGCAGTTCATTTTTGAATTGAGCAAATTTGGACCCTGGCTGGTACACTGTGGCCTGTTCTTGCGAATAACATCAGGGGATCTTTAACGTCTACTATAAAACAGACAGTGCATAGTGTTCCCAAGTACATCGCGTTATATCAATTTCGCGTGGTGAAAATAACGCGTTCTAGGAGAACAGACTGTATGTTAGTTATTGCACTCGGGAGTAAGAACGAGTGTGCGCCTAAAGAATAAGAGTTTCATCGGCGAGCACGACCTGTTATGACGTGGTGTCAAAAACAATGGAACAAAAAACATTGAAACGCACACAGGTACGGGGAGATAGACGCTTGGAATCACATTGAGAGACAGAAATAGAACCACGTGGCTTATAGAACCTACGCAGGTGAAGGACAACTCAAACTGTTAACAAAAGTAAGGGGGCTTGAGGCAGCACATGTCGCAAGAAGGATTGATGGCCAGCAAATGAAGGTTAGTGATGGGGTGGCAGCCAAGGAATGGAACACATCCAAGACCGCATCTATCAAGGAGATGGAGCGATGAAACGGGCTCGTGTACAGGTTCTTGGTGGATTGTTGTATCGCGAGGGATGGCGGCGACTTGGAGAAGCCTTCATCCAGCAGTGGATTTGCCATGGGTGATGATTATTATGATATAAATAATGTATTCATGCATTGACATGCACCTCATGTCCACATTGGCATCTAATGGCATAAGCAATCTACATTATGGGGATGATATTCTTAGGTTTTTTTCGGTAAAGTCACGTAGGTAAAACATTTAAAATTAATAAAAGTAAAATAAAATACATTTAAATTTTTTTACCTACGTGACTTTACCGAAAAAACCTAAGAATATGAATCCTTGCAGTCACGAAAGCTTCAAATCTAGTATTATGGGGATGATTGAAAGGCTGTAATAATGCTCCACGTGACGGCTTGATCACCATGCTTTTGATGAAGAATTTCCTCAGATGTACAGACTTCCTTAGGTGACTGTAATTACAAGGCGATGTCAATGTATGAGCATAGGCTGTAATCGCCTGCAATTACTACTGCAGGAGACTATTACTGCAAACAAAACATAATAAACCATTGCTGCGATAGTTCCACACAGCCAATTAAAATTATAAATGTCCATAGAATAACATACAAGAAAGGTCTAATTTTGCCCAGGTTCATATGTTTATGCAAATTATCTTCAAAACACAATTTGTTACGTTCTCTCGGTCTCTCCTGGGGAACCAGTACAGCTTTGTACGCCTGCGACACTTGGATATTAAAAAATATACTGACATAGATCAGATATTGCCACTAGAAATGTATCGCTGCAGAAGGATACTGCTGCATCTAAGCGGGACTCAAAGAGTTACCGACGTAGAGGTAAGAAAAATGTTGCACATAGAAGAAGACAACCTGATGATGATGATGATGCAGGCAGTGGTGAGAAGGAAACTGACACTTTGTGGACACATGTAGGATGGGACAACAACAGGAACTTTAAATTTCGATTTTAAGCTTTCGTGACTGCAGGGATTCATCTTCTTGGTTCTTTCGGTAAAGTCACGTAGAAGGGAAGTAATAAAATAATAAAAAATAAACATAATACAATAATTCTCACGACGTTTCGGCCACAACGCAAGCAGCCGTCCTCAGGTGAAGACCAGGTCTGTCGGGGAGACAGCGTCTGAATGAAACACCACCACGCTTGGAGCGTATATTTAAGCGTATATTTAAGCTTAACTATACGCTCCAAGCTTAAATATACGCTCCAAGCGTGGTGTTGTTTCATTCAGACGCTGTCTCGCCGACAGACCTGGTCTTCACCTGAGAACAACAGGAACATTTTTATTGTCTTGTTCGAAAAAATGGAGAGAACCGGAAAGAGAGGAAGAGCTAACAGAGAATGGCTTGACGATGACGACACTAGAGATTCGCTTCCAGAAAGACGTGGCACTCCTTCAGCAATATTGGCACAAGACAGAGAGAAATGGAAACAAATGACGAAATGTGCAGTGGACACCTACGGGCTATCTGCCCGGACATTCGATAAACACTCAAAAAATATTTGAATGATCCTTAAACATGTTTTATTTATTCCTTGGTTTGTGCGAGCATGGGTGATTGCATGTAGGTACGTTGAGCTGCGTGCTTTGTATAGTCTACAAAGCCTAGACACAATGGTAATTTAAATCACTAGCGTTTTCCAAATCTAATTCATAGCTTGTATGAGTACTCTTAGGTTTTTTCGGTAAAGTCACGTAGGTAAAAAATAAATAATAAAAATAATAGAAATAAAATAATAAATCACGACGTTTCGGAAGCAACACAAGTCTCCGTCATCAGGTGGGACCGTCACAGCCAGATTTACTGTATCAAGTGGGGAAAAATCCAAGAGACAAGCTTTTAAATACAAGCTAAGGGGGAGGGGGGGGTGGGCTTATTTGAATGTGGTAGCCAGGGAATGGAACGGTATGAGGTTGATGGTAGAGAAGCCTTTCCTAAACGTCGTTTGCTCCCATGGTTGGTAGGCCAATACAGTACATGTTTCCTTATTTTATTTGCACTGTTGATAGGTGCCATAAGAGGCTAATGGGTCTGTGTTACTTTATTTCAAGTACGTCGTATCGCCCTTTTTAAATAGAAGAATGATCGAGGCATCATTCCATGAGTGTGGTATTTAAC